ATCAACTCCATAGGACAGAGCAGAACTGCCCTCGGGTTTCCGACCTCACAGTGGCAGTGGGTTTCAAACTGCTGACCTTTTGTTTACTAACCCACTATGCTACTAGGGCTCCTGCTTATTAAAAAGGGGCTAAGGGATTTGATATCCAGGTGAAAGAGTCTAGATTGTTTTCTGAAGCATGGTTTCATGTGTTGAGCCTCTCCTTGCTTCAGAAAGTTACACTGATCTAAAGTACTTACTAAAATCTTGTTGGTTTTTAGAGTGTCAATATCTAAAAATGACCTACTCATTGACCGATTTGACTTGGCCAATGAAACTGGTTTATTTTGCCTGGCCTCCCTTAAAAACATGAGTTACTCTTGTGTCTCTGGCTTTAAACAGAAGAAGATGACTTTTACTGTATTGCTAAAAGAAGTGCAAAATTAATAGTAAAGTTGTTGCTCTCTTAAAGGCAGGGCAAAGTGAGTGTATGCAGTTTTATTATAAAATGCTTGAAAATTACTTTGTATCCAAAGGATTTTTCTGATTTGTCTGTGGACCAAAGTAGTCCTCCAAATGTAAAAGATAACTTCTATGTAAGATTTTCACTTGTCCTTCTATTAATGTTGTTCAGGTTGCAGAAGGGCCCCCGGGCTCCTCAGCCCATAGTTCTACTCTGTGAAGACAAAGGGTTCCAGCACTCACCTTTTTTAACTTGGGAGAAAAATGGCTTCAAGACATAGCTTTATTGTTGCACATGCCTAGACGCTGGATAAAGATGAACATTTTCAGCACTATGGATATTTTCAGACATAACCAAGAGTGGACTAGTAAAGTAAGCCCCTGTGAAAATAAGGTAGCAGGGGGCATCTGGCCTCCTATTATCACACCGGGGAGAGAGAATCACAGAGCAAGAGCCCAAGGCCAATTCTTGTGAAGGAAAGGGCAGACATACCTCTTTCTCTCCAGAACCTCTGGCCACCCCTGTCCTGCCTTCTGTTTTTATGGTTTTGCCTCTTGTGGTATTCATATAAAGGGGATCATAAGTAAATGATTTTTAGTGTTTGCATTCTTTTACTTGATTTATGTTTTGTTTGTTTTTCTCCAAGATTCATCCATGTTGTGTGATCAGTACTTCTTTCCATTTTTACAACAGGGTCATGTTCCATTGTGTGCACATTCCACATTTGTTTATCCATTCATGCACTGATGAACGTTTGCGTTACTTCTACTTTTTGACTGATGAACAGTACCACAGTGAACATTCGAGTTCCTATTTTTAGTTCCCTTGCACATATGCCTAGGAGTGCAAGTGCTGTGGCCGTCTTTTACAAATGAAAAACACACACATGGGGCATATCAAGCATACAAATGGAAAGTAAAAACCTCTCTAGATATCTCTGTCCACAACAGGAGGCGGTGTTAAGAATTTCTTATAATTCCTTCCAGGAAAAGAGAAAAAGTAATACTTTTGTTTCGGTTACTTTTGTGGATCTTTATTCATTCAGTGATACTAATTCCATTGTTCTTCTGAATCTGCCCTTTCAAGGTCTCTAATCTGGATGACAGTCATTGGGCAACTGCATTCTCAGCGCAGCGTTCCGGACTTTTCACAGATCCCCAGAATGTGACCGAGGACGTAACCCTCAGCGCGGTGATGCTGCGTGAGGATGATCCTGGAGAAGCTGGTCAGTTGGATTTGAGCTTTGGCACAGCAGCCTGTTGCTTAGACCAAAGGAACTATTTTCCACTGTTTCTAAACTTTACCAGAATGCTTAGTTATGAAGCTGATCTGTGAGGTAATGGCAAAGCTATTTGGCACAGTAGCATTGGTAATCTCACCTTAGTCAGAGCAGTGTCTTGCACTTTTATCTTTCAGTATAACTAGCAACCTCTTCAGGTACTGAGCAAGTCTTTTCTATCTCTATTCTTATTTGTGCTACTGAGATAGTTTTTCCTCTTTAGGTTTAGTTCTTAATTTTTTAACATTGTTGGCATGTTTTGTTTGAGCTGAATGCTAGTGCTACTTTTTTTTCCTTGAAATGTATGTGGTTTTGTAAAAATCATTTTATTGG